ATAACAAGTATACAAAATTGTGCAAACCGGTTTCTGTCCATCGTATCCTTGATTAGGGTATCTTGGATTCACGATTGGCCTGTTCAGTGGCTCATCTACGATCTCTACACTGCGCAGGTTGCGGCGTGCCTGCCAACAACACTTAAACTTCATTATCTTCATCAACTCAAAACCGTCCCATTGCAGGGCACTGGTCTCTTCTAAAGATATGTAATGAAATGATTTGATCATTTTCAATAAAATATTACTTAATTTTCGTAGTCGTAACACAGCCTAATTTACGGGCACACGGGACTTGTCACCTTTGTACCTTAGTGGCAGTGCCCCTTTGCGATTTAAGCTTTGAGTGGCACAGCAACTGTAATGGATAGGCGTGTCGGTGACCACCAGGGCCACAACTTCGTCCCGTCACTTTATATCATTGAAAACAATGATTCAGACAATAACTAACTCCTTAGCATTTAAGAGAGCAATATCAACGTTTAGCGAATTGCTAAACTTATTAAAGTGGACATTTCTACTTGGATATCTCGAACGCGAAGTTGCTGGTAAAATTACAGGCACATGGGACTTGTCAACTTATGTCTCAAGGTGAAGGGCACTACCACAAGTGCGCCTCAAATCTTTGCGATTTAAAGAGCTGAGTGGCACAGCAACTGTTATGGACTGGCGTGTAGCTTACCATCAGGCGCACGACTTGTTCGTCCCGTCACTTGATATTATAAAAAAAAGTTCTTTCAGATTGTGACTTCGCGCATCTTCGAAGAGTTTTGTAAACCTTCTGTGACAAGCTGATTTGATCGCTATGTTTTCACCATTAATGCCCATCATTCGCTGGCAAAGGGTAAGGAGCGGGAAAGCTAAGCTGAGCGGAGTAAAATAGCTTTGCCGTTCCACTAGGAAACAATCACTGAAAACTCAACTCTGCTTTCTCTTTTGTAACTTTTTCAACTCACTCGTTTGTGGTGCAAGCACTTCTATGAAGTTTAGCGTTGAGAGTCGGAGTCAATAAATATGATAATATAATCGGAGTCAATAAATGGCTACCAAACAAGTTAACATTAATTTACTCAATAGTCACTTGTTCAAGCTAATGATAATTTAGTTAATATGCAATATAAGATTTAAAAAATTTTAGCTCAGATTTTAATTGTTTTTTTTATTATCATTAATAGGTTCAACTGCAATTTTTAAAATACTAAGAACCTTGACGACTACATTACCAACATCATAAACAACAACTTTTGTTCCATGGCTTAATAATTAATCCGATTTTTCTTTGATACAAAAATAAATAGATTTAAATAGATCGCTCCAAACGGTGATAAAACTGTACAGGACGGGGGTGGGAGTCATCGCGGATGACGCTTGCACGTTTGAACTTATTCTACCAAATATAGACTTAAAAAGTGTCACATAGTACAGCAAAAACTTAACAAGTTTATTTTTGGTAAATTTATTATGTTTTATAAAAAGTCATGGAACAAATATTGTTGTTTATGATGTCAGTTATATAATCCTTTGAGGTTTTTAGTATGTTATAAATAAAATTGTATAGTTCGATAAGGATGCAGTTTTATGATGCGAGTCGTGAGTTTTATGACCTCTTCCAGAGATTAGTTAATACGGCCTTTTGTCCATCTGAACAAGGCCGATGTTGCATCGCTTTAGTTATTTATATGTCAGATTATATCGCTTTACAATTGGTTATTTTAAACAAAAAGTGCTAAACATTTTTAACGCAAATACATTTTTTACACTGCCAGAAAAATGTATACAAGGTGACAGATCGAAAGAGATAAATATTTAAAATATATATATAACCGTCATTGTGAATAAAAACCGCCGAAGTATTTTAATAACCGGCAATCTATCTCACTACCGCTACACATGTCTCTCAACCCTGACATTGGCAAAATCGTCGCGCAAAACGACGGAGCCATAGACACAAAAGTTGAAGTTGAAAGAGGCGGTGTGTAGCTGATACCCATACCGAATATGTAAAAAAAATCTAACCTTTTTGTACATATTTTTCTCTACGGAAAATACTGCCTCTAACATTTTGTAATACTATGCGCAAGATGGAACATGCAGTGAGTGCCCGCGCAACCCTTATCGGCCTCCGCACGCTTTGAATGAAGGAACTCTTTAAGCAGAAAGGCTCGGCAGTTTAATTTCTTACCGATCAGCTGTTCTGTTTCATAGAGTAAAGCCCAAATAAAGAGTGTGTTAGTTTAAAATGTAAAATAACACGAAACTTTTCATTATGTTTAGGGGTGATTATTTTTGCTTATTCGGATTAGATACTTAGCTAGAGGTAAACTTTAAATATTTATCACGTTCAACCCGTCATACTATATTTCAATTAATTATGACGTAGCAACTTGCGGAACAATAGCGATTGCGTCTGAAAAGATATAAATAACATATATCTACGTAGCCTAGAAACCCAACAGTTCCTAAAATCACCACCCATACACATAATTGTGAGCGCAAGGTCCTAATTCACATTAGGAACTGTTTGCTGCTCCTTATCAAATTATATTATGACTCCAGAAGCCGAATCTCTAACCCTTACGAGCTTCATATGGTTCACAACAAACGTTGGGAGATAAGTTGTAATTAATGGGAATAACGGACAGCAATTACGAGTTATTGAATTAGACCTACAGCAGAGTGAAATAAAGGAATAACAAATTTACTTACCGCAGGGTCATTAACATCGTTTTTTGGTGGGAACCCGTAGCTTTGATCTTGTGGAGGTCCACCGGATCTGCCAGAGTATTGGTCTTGATGATCAAATCTCGTCTCTTGTCTACTTGTTGGCGCCTTAAAAGAAGTAGATAGTTTAAAAAAAGCAACACTACGCAATTTATACAAGTGACTTTTTATCACCATTCAAATTTGTGACCATAACCTAGAAGTTAATTTTAATAAAACTAAATTAATGCAGTTCAGACCTTATCAAAAACGCCCTATAAACTTAATTTATAAATTTAACAACATTCCGCTTGATTCTGTAACCTCCCTTTGCCTGCTAGGAATAAATATCGACATCAATTTAAATTGGAAGGATCATGTAAATAAATTTGTTGGTAAATTGTCAAGTTTCACATATGCTCTGAATGAACTCAAATAATCGACTGACCTTAAGACAGCAACTAGCGCTTACTACGCGTATACTCATGCCTGGCTTAGCTATGGTGTTGCGTTGTGGGGCAACAGCACTGACGCAAAAAAAGTTATTGCGTTGCAGAAGAATTGTATTCGCATACTCGCCAATATAGACTCGTTTACCAGCTGCGAATCGTATTTTATCAAATACAATATCTTATTTATATATTTATTTATCTATATTTTACAAATGTGTCTTATTGTCATGAATAATTTGGATGCATATCCTCTGTATTGTCGTTCAGAAAAACTAAGACCCACATGCAGGCTAGCAACAACAATTTCAAAAGTGCAAATGGCCAACTTGGGTCCGTATTCTATGTCAATTAAAGTTTATAACGCACTCTCTGACTTTTTAAAAATTTATAAATAGCCTAAAAATGTTTAAAAACCAACTTAGTAAATATCTGTGCCAAAAATGCTACTAGGTACTCATTGCAGGAGTTTTTTAGTGACGAAGAAAATTGTTCATAATGTTATAAAAAAAGTAATGTTAATGTGTTATAAAAATATGATATTATGATTATGTAATTTAATAAAATAAATGCAGAATAATAATATCACGGAGTAAATAAACGCAATTATTAGGAAGATTAAATTGACAAATGTAATTATTATTATACAAAACTAAGATAATTTGACGATTAATTAATAATTAATTTTTAATTGATTAATTATTAATAAATAAATTGATTTATTTTTAAAATACTTTAAATGTAAATTTGACAATCATTTTAAAATTAAATCATTTCACTTTCGGAATATATTTACTTAGATTTATTTATTTTCATTGTAATAATATTATGATTAATAATTATGATAAAAATGGATATTGCTGCGCCCTTACATGTACATGTTTGATACTTTACCAACTACTATAAGACCTAATGTAACAACATATTTTGCAATAAACGACATTATTATTATTAATTTTAACACTGATCTTTGTTGAAAAAAAATAAAACAAATAATATTTCGCACTCGAAACCAAGTACTGTCGTAACTCAAAATTGTGGAATTAAGAAAACACAATTTGAAAATAAAACAAAAAATACTGACAGACATTAATATTATTGTATTCTGGTTTATGAATGTACTTTTTTATAAAAAATAAGTGCGCATTTGGCCTAAATCTCACCTGATGAAAAGTGATGATGAGATCGACGATGTAGCATGCACACCTAAATAATGCCTATTCAGTCTCGCCTTGAAAAGATCCAAGTTATAGCGTTCGGGGAATACTTATTCCCCGAATGGACTTCCAGCGGAAGGGAATTCCATTCTCTAGCCGCTCACACTATAAATGTGGAAACACCTCGTAAGATATTTGAGTATTATTCACATTGTTCGCAATGCGAATCATTTAGTTTATTTTTAATTTTCAAATTGTGTTTTCTCAATTCCACAATATCGAGTTATGGCAGTATTTGGTTCCATGTGCGTTTTATTTTTTTAAAGTTTGATGTTTGTAACACTTTCATAAATCTAACACAGTAAAACATTAGACAAGAAATAAGCCGCTTTACCGCCTACTTAAAAATATACTATTATCTTTTGCGCACTACAACAACAATTGAAACTAACAATTAAAACCGAAAGTACTGAATAAAAGTGTCATTACGAATATGGGTTAGGGGTTCGGTTAGGGGTCGGTTGGGGGTCGTTTGGGGGGCCGGTAGGGGGCCCGGTTGGGGGCTGTTTGGGGGCCGGTTGGGCGGCCGATTGGGGGGCCGGTTTGGGGGTCAGTTGGGGGCCGGCTGGGAGCCTATTGGGGGGCCGGTTGGGGGGTCGGTTGGGATGTCGGTTGGGGGGCCGATTGGGGACCGGTTGGGGGGCGGTCAGGGATGAGTGACCCACCCCCTAACCCAACTCATCTATACACCCGCTCACCCACCCCCTTACCGACCACCTAACCCACGCGCAGACCCACCCCCTAACTCACCCCATAACGCACCTCCTAACAAACCCTTAACTCACCCCTAACCCCCAATCCAGACCCTAACTCACTCCCCAACCCACTCCCAAACTCACCCCTGACCCCCACAACCCAAACCCTAACCCACCCCCTAACTCACTCCCCAACCCAAACCCTAAATATCCCCAAACCACACCTAACCCACCCTCTAACCCACCCCTATAAATTTATCATAATTGTCAGTTTTAATTGTTAATCAAAAACATTGAAAAGATTGAAAATTGATTAATTGTTAATTGTAGATATACGCGATTAACGATTGATTAATTGTTAGTTGCGAGAACCGCAATTAACAATTAATTAATTGGTAATTGCGGTTCTTTATTAATTATAATTATCGCTATAGCGGTAATTGTCACCCTGAAACATAAGTTGACAAGTCCCATGTGCCTGTAATTTCACCTGTACCCTTACCCTTCAAAACCGCTGCTGTAATGCTGACATTACTGCTTGGCGGCAGAAATAGGTAAGGTGGCAGTACTTCCCTCGAAGAACTCTTTCACAAGGAACTCTACTGCTACTTAAAATTTCATTTCAAGAAACTTTTTTTTTTGGCTTTGTGAATGTTACAGTATCAGATCTTTTATTATTGTAAAATTGTTTTATGGATCTGTGGCATCAGGAGGAAAAAGAAAAAAGAAGACTTAAGATTTATCGAACTAATATGCTATGGTCTACTGCTAGTTTAGCCCTGCGCAGTCGCATGCGACTTGTGACGGTGTAGTAGTAACACTGCACTTAGCGGTTTAGTTTACACGTTATAACAAATAGCTGAGAGTCAGTGCGACCAAAGACGCCTAACATCGCCAGGACGCTGAGGGACCCATTGCAATGCAGGGTTAAATTTTAAATTATTTGTGTTATTTACATGTTTGTAAATGCTGTTTGGATCTGCTGTGTACAACACGGTAAAACTTTACTTAAAAGGCAATTTAAATGCATGAACAAATTGTTCTTTGTTTGTTAAAGAGGCGGAAACTTATTGTTAAAAAAATATATTATGTCTACATATATATATCTACATACCTGTTGTCCATATGAATTGATTTGAGGTTTTTGTTGGTAATTGAAATTATTCTGCACGTGTGGTTGAGTTTGCCCCTGATTTGATCCCCACTGGCTACCAGTAGTGCCCCAAGGATCAGGTCTAGCTGTCATTGGATCTGGTCTTCCATCAGGCCTTCCAAGAAGTGATTCTGATCTACCATGCATTGAATCTGGTCTAGTATGCATTGAATCTGGTCTAGTATGCGTTGATTCTGCTCTACTATGTATTGTGTCTAGTCGTCCGTGCATTGCATCAGGTCTGCCATGTAATGTATCTGGTCTACCATGCATAGGATCAGATCTTCCATGTATTGGAGCGGACCTTTCGTGGATTGGATCGGGTCGTCCAGGTATTGTACTACTCCTGTTATGCATTGGGTCAGGCCTGCCAGACATTGCATCCTGTCTACCATGCATTGTATCTGGTCTGCCAGACAATGTATCTGGTCTGCCAGACATTGTATCTGGTCTTGATGACATTGTATCTGATCTCCCAGACATTTGGTCTGGTCTATGGCCAGACAATGGCTCTTGTCTATTATGCATTGTATCTGGTCTGCTAGACATGGGGTCAGGTCTACTATGCAGGGATTCAGGTCTACCGATAGTGTCTGGTCTTCCCATAGGATTGGGTCTTGTCATGGAATCCATGGGACGATTGCCATAATTTTGTGGTTGGTTTGGAAAATCATTTCTAACAGGATATGCAGCTCCACCCCTTTGATCAAAGTTTTGTGGCGAATTTAACTGTAAAAGATCAACATTTAAATTAATAACAAAGTGAAAGCATTCATTTGACACACAACTTATACAGTAATAATATAACATAATTACAGTGTTGGTAAAGTAATAGAAACAGCAGCATATCGAGCTACACATTGACAGATCTTGTTTCATTGCACTGGAGGCAAAATTCGAACAAAAGTGTACAGCTTGATGTATTGTTGACTGTACTTCAAAACTATTTAAAATATGAAATGAACACTTTGCTTTCTATATTAACACAAAACAAAGTGTTCAATGTCACGAAAGTGAATGGACGTCCAAGGCCTAAGGATAGGCCTGTTTACTGTTTCTGCTATCACCCTAAGGAAACTGTTGGTGCTTCTCCTAATTTTTACCAACAGGAATGCCACAGTCTTATGAACTATAACTTCAAATCTAACAATCCTAGCCATCTCGAATATTGAGGCAGCCCCAGCAGTCCTGTAAAGGTGTTGTTGAATTGGATGTGCAAGGCATTGTATGCTTTCTTGCTGTTATTGCTCCACACGCTGCATGTGTAAAAAAGTCTAATATTTTAGTAATAAACTACTTTTTTAATAAACTACGTTACTCTATTTAGTTGTCTGGTGGATGTTTTAAGTTAATTCTGTTAATATCGAGTTCTTAGGTTTTCGCTATTGTTACACATAGGAAATGTAACTATTTTTCCGGATTTAAATCGCGTATATTTGTTTTTTCAAACAAACCGACGTTTCGTCACTATGGGTCAACCGTGACCATGGGACCTGTAAAGGGCCCGAAACGTCAGTTTATTTGAAAAAACAAATATGCGCGATTTAAATCCGGAAAAATAGTTTTATTTCCTAATTCTGTTAATTCTGTCAAATAATACAATACAATTATATTATTCATATATATCGACTCATGTCTATGTTATGGGTTTCTATCGCGAATCAAACCCAGGACCTCTTTGCCCAATTAATGATCACTTACGAAGGATTGTACATTACCACCACGCGAATGTAGGTGAGAGGCGGTGTGGGGGAGGGAGGGGGGATCGTCACTGCAAAGTTTCAAAGTTAGGACGTTAATCGTTTTTGAGATGTTAATTTTTCTCGAAAAAAAAAACCTCAAAATTACATATTTACGCACTAAATGCAAGAGTGGGGTAAATATTGAATGTAGGAGAGGGGGAGCTCCCCTACGAATTATTTAATTAATTATAATAAAATTTGCAATCAAATAAATAAATAAATTTAAAATTTAGCAGTGTATTAAGTCATTTTATTCAAATTGTACTTTAGAATTAGGGTTAGATATTTAATTAAATACGTAATAAGTTTATTTGAAAGAAGTGTAATAAAAATTTTATATAGTCGAATACGACTCTATGGATTCAAAGTTTACGGGTCGACGATAAGCGCGCGAAAATTACTTTTGATCGGTTTGCGCTGCGACGTACGGGTAGCGGGCGGCGAATGATATGTGCGGGTAGCGGGGAGTGTGGGTGGAGCCAATGTCAAGACTTTTTAGCATGAGGGCTCTTAATTGTTAATTGTAGATATACGCGATTAACGATTGATTAATTGTTAGTTGCGAGAACCGCAATTAACAATTAATTAATTGTTAATTGCTGTTCTCGCAATTAACAATTAATTAATAGTTTATTGCTGTTTCACAATTGACAATTAATAAAAGTCAATCTTTCATTGCCTGAACAATCAAATTTTGCCCAACACTCGATCGGGTCAAATGATTCGATCATATGTTCGATATTTTAGCTGGCCACCCGTCCCTCGTGATACTTCCATATGGTGTTTAAAAGTGTCAAATTATACAATTAGTTTTTATTCTTTCCTGCTGAGGGGTAATGTGTCTATAGTTCAATGCATCATTGATAAACGACACTTAGGACACTAAAATTTCCTTCTGGAAAAACTAACAATGTTACAAAACAAAAATATGTAACAAAAAACCTATGAGCATTCAAAATTACTAATTTATTATTAATTAATATTTTAATATTTGCTAGTGCATTCTTAAATAAACACAACGTACCGAAAAAACAGATTCAACATACAAAATTACTATGTAATTAATTAGCAATTAGGATGAATGATTGATTGACTCATGATCCATTAACTCATTATTGCTTGACTTTTTGGTTCGATTGAATGAAGGTTCTATCAAACGAATGCTCTATCAAACAAATGTTCGCCCTAAAACGAAGAGTGAGAAGGTGAACCGTTTCTTGAGTGGTGACTTCATATAAAAGTGAATGAGACAACAATGATATTGTGAATTGTTGAGTAATCTCTAAAATTATAGTGGTAAACTCGAATATTGCGCACATAACCTATGAAACTAAAATGATCAGGTTATTTACAAGCTATTTTACCAGGTTATCAGGTCACAGGTGCTGTTTGAATCATTTTCATTCGATCAAACATGATCAACACACATCTAATGTATAGTTGAGCCTCACTTGCTCGCAATGAGAAGAAAACATGATGAGACCAACAGCATGGGAAAATGTTGAAAAGTAAAATTGATATTAAATTTATTAAATATTACGGTGTTTCACTACCATGTTATTCAATTCTATTTTGAGAAATTACTTAACATACTTAACTTACTTATAATCATTAATACAAAGAAAAATAAAATAGGCGCTTTGTCGTCAATTTGCGGATACCAGCCCGTTGCACCAAGTACCAAGTAAGTAATACAAAGAAAACTTCTTTCGATCCGGCTGCTCTCAAAACAACCACCTCGTCATATCATAGCGAGTATGCTGGAATTTTTCTTTGTGTCCAATCTTTGTATCATACTTGATATAAGAAGTTGGAATCATAACAAATACCCACCAGTGGTTTTCCAACAGGCAGAACTCTCAGTACATTCCCGGAGAACCGGAAACCATCCAAGCACTTTATCAAATATCCGCCTTCCCTGTCGTCTGACACGCCAATACGAACTTTCTTCGTGCCGCCATTTTCCGCGACCAAATTGTCCAAAATAAAGTCCGTAATGTTACATTCTTGCTTAATTAACACCTTCAAATTGTGATATTTTACCTGAAAAAAGTAGAATTTGCGAAATATTAGCATTTCATCCTTGGCATTTGTTTGCGAAAGCCATAACCAAAAATGTTGTATTTACCGATGAAGGTAACCCGTGAATTGTAAGCATCATCTTGCAAATAGCTTAGAAATGACAACTGTGGCGAAATAATTAGCATCACTCCATTTTCAGCGGTAAACCATCGAAAATTTATAGTTAGTCAATCAAACCAATGCGTCATTGGAAACTGGAAACCACAGACCACTAATCTCTGAAAACAGAATAAAAATTGTCTGGGACTTATTAAAGAACCATAGACAATAATAGGTTTCAATTTTGGATTTTGTTTTAAACGAAGTACAGTCAAGAGCACGTCAAGCTTGACACTTTGTACAGTCAAGAGCACATCAAGCTTGACACTTTGTAGTTAGGAATATTCTTATCGTAAGCGGCATAGAGTTTGACTTAAGTCTTAAGTGTCAAGCTTGAGCCTGTACCTATTTAAGAATTAAAAAATACATAGGTGAGTGATTATTTGATTTATTATTTTCGAAAAATTTCAAATACACAATTTTTTCCGGAAAAGTTTCAGATAAATTGGAAAAATATAATTCGAATCTTCACATTATGGGTCGTATTCCAGAACTCTACTCAATACTCAAGTCAGGACTTGAGCAGACTTGAGTATGATTTCAAGCACTGGAAATACGATCCTAATGGCAAGGACTTGAGTATGATTTTCAGTGCTCATTGCAATACTCAAGTCCTGACTTGAGTATGGAGTAGAGTACTGGAATACAACCTTATGTTTTACATTTAGATATATATTTTGAAATTTTATTTAGCGTGAATTATACAACAAAATTGAACAGATAAAAGCAAGTTAGAGTGAAAGGAGATTTAAAATAATTGGACAATAGCGAAAAAAGGTATTAAAAAAATCTTTACATTACAATGGCAGTGGCTCCATCGCATCGTTTTCGTTCAGTATCTTCAACTTTTGATAGATGCCAATAGACAAAAGAAATAATAATATAGTGTATATGAAAAAGTTCGGAAAAATATGATTATTCAAAGTGGACATTTTTCCATAAACCCACAGTCCACTGGATTACTTGATTGTTAGCTGAAGGATAAAATGAGTAGCCGCATACTTCGCGGATTGTTGATTAAAAGCTGTCAATATATTCGCAAATTAATGCTCTAGGACTTGATATTAATATCATAAGTACAGGTACAAGTTGGTACAATCTCAGCACAACATAGCCCTACTATTGGTATCGTAGTTGCCCTATTTGCCATGGAGCGGCTGAAACGCTAACTGCGAAAAGCTAAGACAAAAATAACTTTGATTTATGGATCTAGTGCTTTGAATCATACTCAAGTCCTTGCCATTAGGATCGCATTTCCAGTGCTTGAAATCATACCTACTCAAGTCTGCTCAAGTCCTGACTTGAGTATTGAGTAGAGTTCTGGAATACGGCCCTTAAAACACTAGAAATCATACTCAAGTCCTTGCTATTAGGGTCGTATTTTCAGTGCGTGAAATCATACTTAAGTCTGCTCAAATCCTGACTTGAGCATTGAGTACAGTTCTGGAATACGACTCTTAGAGGATGGAAAAAAAAATAATGGAAAGAAGCTGCCATATCTACGGAATAAACGTCTCCTAAACCAAAAATGTCCACCACAAATAGCGAATTTAGTGTTGTACCATAATCATAGATAAGTCAATATCGCCATGCAAATGTATCGCTTGAATGTTGAAACTGTTGTTACTGTGTTTTATGTTTGCAAATTTGTGTAGTTTACTGTAATCAAAGTATGATTAATACTAGGCTATTATTACTAGGCAAGTAATGAGCCATAAGCCATTATTACTAGGCAAGTAATGAGCCATTTTAATCAAAATTAAATATAAAGTTATTTACCAACAAATGTAACGATGGAATTGCATTATCATGTAATCTTGTTACATTCAAAGTTCTATTTAAATTTGAATAGTGCGAACAAACGAAAATGGTATTTGATCCAATAATTATGTTCGGCAGTCCTATAATTTCCAACCATTCTTTCTAATTTTTTTTCTTTCGTAGGTAAACTTTAAAAATAATATGTGTATAATAATATTAATGAAATAGTTTCAATAACAAAATATCGATAATATGTCTGCTTACAAGAACAACACTATATCAAAATAATCGTTATCAACAATCATCAAAATAGACTAACAAACAAGCAATGTAAAGTAACCAAAGCAAAATTCGGCAAGACTTATAAATAACTTAATTAACTGAGTCTAATTGCATGAGATATTTCGGCTATTGTATGATTTATAGGTAGAAAAATAACACATGCCGGTGTAATGTAACATTCAGTTGATTTCCGCTTTTTCAACTGCCGCACCCACAGATAACTGCCGCACCCCTACATTCTGGCAGCGACGCATTTTTATCAATACTTAATTATTCTCACTGTCAATATTTTTGTCCATTTCATTTACAATTCAGGCCAAACATTGGTTTTGACATTTGATGTACGGTTATATATATATTTTAATGACATTACAAAAATATAATTTGAGAGCTCATGTTATTTTCTTTCTTTTAGAAACGTAGGAAGTTTTATTTAGCGGGAAATAAAAAATAAAATCGTTTAGTAAAACAAAGTTAGGCGTCGTTTTTGTTCAATAACAAACTTTTGACCGGTGTCAGCGTGGAAAATTATCATGGAGGATGGAGAAAGAAATAAAATTATACGAAAGATAATGGGAGAATACGGGAAGAATAAAGAATATTCATTTTTCTTAAAAATTAAGACTGATCAGAAATGAGAATTTTTCTCCGACTCACATTGTTGGGGCAGAAAATTATGAAATGAATGTGGTCGAGCAGAGGCTATTCGGGGCTGGTTACAGATTTATGTTATTAAGTTTTAGAAATTTGTATAAAGTGAATACTACTGGAGAGTGTGCGTTGGCTAGGAAATAGTTGATATTTATTGGGCGAGGAATATTTTCGGGAAGCAAATCGTAAAGTGGGAAGCTTATTAGGGGGCAGTTAAAAAATAAGTGTTCTAGAGTGCCTTCCTCTAGTCCACATTCGCAGAGGGAGTGATCACGTACTTTAATTTTGGCTAGGAAAACCGGGGAGCAAACGTGACCCAGTCTCAGCCGGATAATCATTTATGAATAGGGTTTAGGTATGTGTTTGAAGCGGAAGAACCAAGGTTTGCGTGGAATATTTGGTTGGAGATAGCCAAAGTGTTTACCTTTTAGTAGGAGCGATTTTTGGAAAGTTTCGTCCCAGCTCCTGAACAATTTTGGTTTGGCCGAACAACGTAGATCTCGGGAGAAGCAGCCTGAGTGGTCCGGCAAGCCAGATGAGATAGCATCCTTTGCAAATCTATCAGCAGTTTCATTGCCGCCTATCCCTTTGTGTCCAGGGATCCAGGCTAAGGCTACGTCGATATTAGATGAATGACAGTCAAATAATAGTTCTTTAATTTGAAGGGTGATATGGAAGTTATTTCTTGAGTGGAATGGTAACTTGATAATATCTTGCAGGCAGCTACGGCAGTCTGAGAAAATTATCGTCTTATTTAGTCGGTGTGACTTCACGTACAAGATGGCTTCCAGAATGGCGATAGATTCACCAGTGTACACAGTTGAGATAGGAGAGCATTTAAAGCTTAATAGAACACTGTACTTTGGGATCCAGACCGCTGCGCCAACATTGCCATCGTCCTGCAATTTTGAGGCGTCTGTAAAGATGGTGAGCCAGTCGTGCCAGTTATTGTTTAAGATCTTTGAGAATTCGTAGTTAGCATTGACAGAGTCTTTACAAACACCAAAGTTGAGGATTACACGTGGCTGGAAGGTTAGCGCTTCAAAAGGGATCTGAAATAGGGGGTTTTATAAAATGTTTATGTTTTCACCGTCTAAATGCATCATATACATATAACGTCTGATTTATATATGTCAATATAACATGTCCTTTGGTTTCCATTGTCTAAACAGTACCTATTCGCAAAAATGTTTTCCTATAAGTAATCTCTTGGCTTTTCGTGGTAAGCGTTTTATCAACTGTAGTTTAGGGAATGCAATTTAAAAAATATGTCGATAAATATCGTTTCGAAATTTAAAAGCCGTACCGATACTTTCAAGATTAATATACCACCCGATATTTCGATATATCAATATTTTTCTCAAAAGTCAGAAGTAACCTATAAAATGATTCCAAAATACATATATCCTATCAAGTAAAATTGAAACTATTAAAGATACGACTGTTGAAGTTATATAGAAAATGTCACTATAGAATTTTCGGGTAAAAAGTGTAGTACGTGTAGTAAGTGTAATACAATCGTGATCGTTCGTTTGCTAGATATAGAGGGAATAGAGTTAATTACTATGTTAAATAGGCCAAGAGATTCCGCCGAAACAACCAAACGTTAGCAAAAAGTATATTGTCGTATCATTCGGTATCGATATGTACTATGGATATAGTTTATCCGATAAATGAAAAATCGTACAAAGTTGAATGCAGAATCGAGACACGCTTCGAGCGCTGATTATCCGTCAGTGTAACGTATTGTTGTGTTGGAAACATACATAAACTTGGATTGTCAATAATATTGTATGTGAATATTACTAGCTTGTGGCTAGGCAATGAGAATATAAGAATAAGAAATATATTTGATAGTTGTGTCAAAACTGGTGGTTTTACTTATTTACTCTTAGTGAAATTCCCTTCCTTTTATCTTTTTGAATTATTTACGATATATAGAAAATATCGATGTTTTGTACAGATATATCGCGAAATATCGATACAACATTTCGATATATTATTATGATATAGGAAAAAATATCGATTTCTTTTACATGAATACCACTAGCTAGCTTGTGCTTAGGGACACAGTATAGATACTATACTCATGAGTAGCATCTCATAAAAAGTTTCGTACTCATAAAAGTGTCGATACCTAATAATTTTCTTAAATTTAAGAATAATTTTCCTTACTTAAAGACAGAATAAAACGCATAAATTAATAAGACTTTTATTTGATTTACGATTTTTAATTGAAACAAATAATAAAAGACTGATTAAATTGATCAATTTAATCAATCGTCATTTCAGATAATTTGTATTACACAAATTTCCCATTCCTCCGCTGTTTAATCACTTAAGAACAAAAATATATTTGGCAACAGTCTTTTTTTCGTTTTTGATATTGTATTGCCGGCTTTTGAGAACAAACGTTCTGAAGAAGGAACAAACTTCGCCGGAATCGCGAGGTACTCAAATATAATGTTTGTCCGGTACGCTGATTCAAATGTTTCTAATTATTTTTCTTCATTCTCATTCTTTTAAAGTAGCAAATGGTTGCTACCATTTGCCACTTTAAAAATTTTACACTATACAGCCAAGTCATTTGTGAGAAAGTTGCCATTTAAAAAAAATCGCAAAGTGGCTTGTGTTACGATATGAGGTGTCCTTAGGAATTATTCAAAATGATAAAATATCGAGTATAAAAGTATCGGTATTGGAAGGAAAAATACTCGATACCAAAATGTATCCATAATTTTTCCATGTCCCTACTTGTGCTTAGATAATATCACTCGATTATTTACAGCACCTTCCTAATTCGATGCTCATTCCTTCGTTGATTCGTTCACTTTCATTCATGGCTTCATGTATTGTTGTTTGTTGCGAGTAGAATTGATTTCAAATTGTCCACTCATTACCTACTGAAAAGAATCAAGATGTTATTAACAATCTATAATTTACCTAGTAGCGTAAGTACATAATTATTTGCTTTATGCGTAAACTGTAAATAACCATACTACGTGAAGCGCAAGCTGGCGATGATTGGCACATACTACGGGAGGCCTATTCATAGCAGTCAGCAATTAGGATCAACGTTTGAGTAGTTTATTTCTAAACAATGCCCATAATTTATCTTAAAATACGTTGCCAATTAATATTATTTTCATCATGTGAATGTCAAAGATGTGATTTTTCGAAAATGTTCTCTCGTAGATTTGTAGATTATCATCTCAGTGAATTCTGTCGAAAATCACCGGTCCATTATTGAGTAAAAACGCGTGTGTTCCTCAACTTGACATTGGCGAAATCATCGATTACTTCGATGGGGCCGTAACATTTAAAAGAAGAACAAGAAAATACGTAAAAGAAGTATTTCTTTTTGAACGCCGCACAACTTGCATTATTGATAGATTATTTTAAGTCACATTTACATTTGCCATGATTTCTCCAAAAACGTGTCTTCCTTAATTTGATGCACATTCAGTCACTTTCGAGATATGGCAGTTTGAAGTTTAAAAGTGTTTCTCACTCTTGTTTTATTCTACAGATATTTATTTTTGTTTTATATGTGTGATTTTTTCTGGTGATACATATAACAAATTTTTGATAATTTTGTGGATCGGATCCTTTTTTTACTTAACACTTTAAAAAAGAAGAATGTTGAGACATTGTTTCAACATAGTAGCAGTAGAGCTCCTTGTGAAAGCATTTGTCCAGGGAAGTACCGCCGCCTTACCTATTTCTGCCGCCAATTAGTAATGTGAGCATCACTGGGTTTTGGTTTTGAAGGGTAAGGGTAGGTGGTAAAATTACAGGCATAGACAGGGACTTTTCAACTTTTTATTTATTTATTTCAGGCCACATGACCCATATGATAAACATACCTGAGAAGCATTACACTGTAATCGCCATTTTTGTAATTTTATTGGGGAAGCAATTTTGTGTTGAAAAGCAGTTTGTACGCCAATTAGGGTAGTGCGAAATGTTATTAAAACTCAATTAGTTTTATTTCAAGCCATTCTAAATGTTGTACATGCTGCATTTCGACACAAAATTGCGTCCCCCGTAAAATTACAAATATAGCACTTACAGTGTAATGCTTCTCAAGTACGCATATAATTATACCCTAAGGACTAACATATATACAATACAATAAAACACTATTTCTCACTAATCCACAACAATTGCACTTGTCGGCGACGTGTGGCGCAATCTGGTGTAAGGTAACCAGCCGCGGAATCGCCGATTTATGACACCCTTCGGCCAAAATTCTTCCTTCATGAAGGTTGACTCAGTTGGTACTCTCACCACAAACAAACTGAAATTCACGTTGTGGCGGGACGCCAACCGCTCGAACCGCAGTGAGTATTTGACTTTTGTCTAAGGGTGAAGGGTGCAGAGGCAGTGCCCCTCAGGTCTTTGCCATTTAAAGCTCAGAGCTGCACTGCAACTCAGGCACAAATACACACACACAAATATGAGAACAGGCATGTCGCATACCACCATGTGCATGATTTGTTCGCCTCATTATTTTTATCATAAAAATATTTTTTGATGTCTTAATGTTGGAGAAATCATAGTAAGTGTAAAGAAGTCTTAAAAATCTAAATTATGTTTTTTTATTTATGACAAAAAATGTTGTTGTTTATTTTGGAGATAAAAATGCATTCAATATTTTTTCAGGGTTTTTATGTTATTATATTTTTATGACATCTTTTATGTGTCATTTGTTTATCATTGTGAAAAATCTAAATGTTGTACATGACGTGTCCCTCAACTGTATCAGTATAACAGTAGTATAACTGCAAAAAGAAAATGTTTATGTCAAGTTTTCCTAGTGACAAAAAATATAAATATAAACAAAAAATAATTAAAAGTATATGGAAATGGAACCCTGTAATTCTGAACTTCAATTTCGCTTGTCCAGAAGTGTATTATACTTGGGCATTGTCCTTTGTATTTTAATTTATAAACAAATGGTATTTCTTAGTGAAGATCTACATAGAGAAAGTGAAGAGAGCATGATGGGTTCCACAACCTATCTATCATGCTTCCCTTCTCACATCATCTGGTAGTTAGTTAGTTGTGCTCTTTCTAATGCAGTATGCAAATGAATCACAAATAATAAATATATAGTGAAATGTATCATTGCTGCAAAAAAAATTGCTACTTTTGGCAAAAGGTGTAGGTGAAAATGGTAAAATTGCAAGTGTAGTATGTTCTTTTAGGAAAATGAAAGCTTTATAAAATGATTAATGTGGTAATTGCAATTGCAAATTTGCAATGATCATTTATTTCTTGTTTATTTTAAAATTTCAGACTCGCTACTGTGATTTAAAGCAGTTGATACAACTAAAATGTAATCTCTCAGAAATAATTCTTGACAACCTAGTGAGTGATGGTAAAGGTAATAAGAAGGTGACAGTAGGTTTGGCGGAAGAAAGTGATGCGGCTATATTGGTTAGGAAGGTAAATGGGATTTTTGTTGGCGGGAACCAGCTTTATGTTGAAAATGTTAAGCAGAATAAGGTAAGCAAATATTTTTATTACTTTTCATCACATATTGGTGGAGTGCATGGTACATGAAGCTCCTGCTTGTTTGCTCCTGCATTCCTATGCATCCCAGTAAATTTGGCATCTCTTTGCGTCATCTGAAACAACTGAGGCAACTCTTAAGTTTCTGGGACAACTAAATTTTTGATTCCATCCACATTTTAATATTATGATCTTTGGTATAATTACAACTTATTAATAAAAAAATTGTCCTCAAAAGCTTGTTTATCTGCTTTTGTTGTGTTTCTGCTTTTGTTATGTTGATCTATTTGCTAAAATGTAATCGATTTAAAGGTCTGACTGTCACTGCCACTGTTATGGACAGGCACGTCGCTCACTACCAGGCGCACGACTTGTTCGTCCTTGAAAAAGAAAAGTTTTGAGGAAATAATGATTTTATTTACTATAAAAAAATATATAAACGCTATAAGGCCCTGTGCATACGACCTACGCGCATACAAAACTAACGTGTGTAAGCAGCGCGCTTGAAGCTCGTTTGTATTGTATCGCGTTAAACGCACGCTTGAATCGCGATTTACAAGCGTTTGAATTGTCTTATCAATAAATACATCGCGTTGCGAAGCTGAGGTAAAGGGCAAGGGAGGGGTGCATTTTCACGTCACTGCGCCGTTCCGTCACCCACAGTCGTCTGTATCGTCTACGCGGAGATGATGAGATGAAACGCGCATTTCAGTTTATGAACGTGTGGAACGGTTTACTGCTGCAACTGAATCCCGATAACGTAACGTAAAAAATACGCCATTTGTATAGGCTCTTAAGAAACAATAATTTTCATTACATTTAATTAGACCTACATTTTAGAACTACGTTTTATTTATGTAACTCATACTTTTATAGGCATCAGAACAACCTTACCATTCGTCAAATGCTGTACAGGAATTTGGAATCCGTCTGCAAGATGGTTTCCAGAAACAAGTAGCATATCAGCAGCCCTTGGGAAATCAAGATCAAAACTCTATGATGATGATGGCTGCAAGCAATATGGGGATGTACTACATGCCTGTAATGCCGACAAATCAGGTAAGTCAGTGTTATGCACTCATGACAGGACCTTTTAAAGTGTAAAAGCTGTGGCTTAGCATCAATGTGCCCTTGCCTTTATCATATACAGGGTTTTTGTGCACAATCACATTTGAGTCAGGAATAATACAGGAATACAAGGTGCCTAAATATTACTATAATTTGTTTAATCTTTCAGGTTTTAGGGGTATTGAACTAATGTCTACACACTTTAGCACTACAGAATTTAGCACCATTTCTAGTCTTTCAGAAATGGTCGTTCGACTTTTACCGAGTCACAAATCGTTGCCAATTCAACATAATTATAGAACTAGGATTTTGAGCTCCGACTATTTTTACCCTTGTATCTACCCGGCCGTGTTTCGTATGCACATTACAGAGCAACATCAGCATCTCATCCACATCATGGCAGAATCTACAAGCTGTAGTCAGTCAGTTAGCTTGAGGTTGCACACGGGCTTGTCTCGTGGGAGCCCTAATTTCCATTGGGATGCCGCTTAACGCCAGAGCCTCCCTCCAATGTTGGTGCTGTAGGCAACCAAACACCATTTGGCTTGTAGTCAGATTTCTCGGGAGACGTCATTGCGTTGTTACCTGGCTATCCTAATGACGTGTTCAAAAATTTTCCGTGGCTCCAGGTTTCTCAAGCTCGTCTGCCTCATTGCTTTCGGCATTGAAGTGACTTGGAACTCGACACAAAAGCACTTTAAACAATACTTAGGAAAGCCACGTATTTCTCCATAATTTCAGAAACAATATACAACACAATACCAAGGAATTTGTTTATTTGACTGAATTTGGGGTATTCTTGGAGAAATTGTGCGATAAGCCTCAAATTACATAATGCTACTTATTACTCTGGATAAATTGACAGTGCCCAACTCTATGCTCGAAAACAAATCTTGAATGTTATATTACTGGCGAATGTTCTCGGCGATGGAGCGCCCGTAGAGAAAGGAAGTAACTCGTATGACAATGCTATATTTCATGTTCTTGCCGCCTGCTTACGCTGGGATGGTATTCTTCTTTAGAATCAACCCACACGCAAAATAGGCGCTTTGTCGTCGAGTTGCGGATACCAGCCCGTTGCACCAAGTACCAAGTTAGAATCAAGTGCTAAATTCCAACGTTAGAATCCGAAATATTGGAATATATTGGCTCGGATGGTCGCCGAACTTGTTCGAACACCCTTGATGGATATGGAACAACACAAATAAAGTATTACATTAAACGGCTTTTGTTTGTAAAGACTTATTACCCAAACTTTATGGGCCGACAATACTTAGAGTCACCGTCAAACATTTGCCATCTTTCGTTAGTTTGCGTGTCTTCGAATTGGGTTACAGTTCAGAGTCAGTTCAGTCCAGTTTATTAGCAGTGTCGGCTAAAGAAGTAATAATAACTACGATCGGATTTTGGGCTGGATACTGTACATTCGATTTGTAACCCGGTAGAGGTATATAGCTTCGGTATTAATCGAAGGTAAAATTGGTTTTCAATTCAGATGGAATTGTGCTTCCAACTAGATTGATGTATGTATGTTAAAACGTCTGCATATAAACGTCAAATATCACATGTCACTTCTTACCCCAGCATAAATAAAGTTGTATGCAGTAAAAACAATTGCAAAAAACTAAAAATTAGATATAGAAAAAACTTTCTATATCTATTTTTTTTTTCAAGATGGAGTGAAATGACAGTCAATTGTCCGTTTACGATCAGCTAATGATTATAGTCGATAAATATTCTATCGACTATCTACGCTTAGGGAGTCACCACACTTATTAATGCAAAACCGCATTAAGTCGGTCAGAAGAAGCTTTATGTCTATGAACGTAAGAGCGAAAAAGCGTTGTGCGTTTCGCATCGATTCGTACGACCGTGTCTTGACACAGATCGGTAACAAATCTGCTTTCTGTGAATTTCTGATCGCGTCCGTACGCAGCCGACGACGGCAGATCGGCGGTGTCGACACCCGAATGGCCGCGTCGATGCCCTGACGACAAAAACGGCAAAAAGTGCGAATGGCCGCGCCAACACCAGAATGATAGCGACAACGCCCGAATGATACAACTTTAGAATAGTTGACGTCGAAATACGGGAGTGGGTGCGAGGGTGGGGGACTCTCTGTAATATTTCGTAATGTTTAGTTTCGTGCGTGAACGTCGTCGTCGGCGTGCTAACGGCCGCTCTAACGCGCGAACGGCCGCTCTCGCGCGCGAACGGCCGTGTCAACGGCGAATCGGCTTAATGAGACAAGTGTGGTTAAACACGATCGCATCAAGACGATTCCACTTTAATAAGTTTGGTGGCTACCTACGTAATAAATGGTCGAACTTCTTTCATTTGCAGGTGTGTAAATTACTATTATATTATAAATTATTAGTAAATTGACATTTTGTTGTCAACCTTTTAAGTTTCCATTGCATTTTTATGTGTTCTATACAATTTTGTTCACAGACTGCTTTTATGAACTACGGCGGCCCGCCTCAAATTCCGCCTTTAATGTCTCAATTTTCCGAGCCTTCTGTCAAAGAAAAGAGCGAGCCTAAAGATAGGTCTCGTGACTGGGCTACTGGCATCAATGACCGGGATTTTGATGTCAGACGTCGACCTGAGACTAGTTGGCAACGTCAAGATATACGTCAATCATCTCCAATATCTGATCAGAGAAACTCAAACTTTGGAAGGGGTCAAAAAGTCAATGAGAACTCTGGCGGAAGGCAACCGAGATGGATGCAATCGGACACTACGACGGCTCGCGACGATCGTAGTGTTCGTGATTACTCATGGGAACAAACAAATATGTCTGCTCCACGAGACGGGACAGTTCGTCATGAGGGTGAGTCTCGTTGGGAATTATCCAGCGTGCCCCATTCTCGCAATGAATGTAACCGTGGTGAACCAAATCCCATGACTTCTCGAGACAACCGTAACAGAAACGGACCAATATGGGAACAAAGGAACGTAGCGAATGATAGAGACGAAACTTGCACGCGTTCCTTGAGGTCTCCTTCACGTTCTTCAATGGAACCTCTTAACCGTTACAATGATAGGTCAAATTTTGCCAGCAAGAACGATCAATATAAAGATCGTAAAGTTGTGCAAGGTAACTGGGGCGCTGGTTATGGCCAGCAAATACCAACTCATGGCCCTAAGTCCTTCAACTCCAACGTCTTTGGCGTATCAAATCAATCTTCTTCAATGTTTGGTAGTCACGTCACAGAATCTGCCCAAGAACTTTCAGAAAGCCGGAAAGGTCATGGACCGAGTCGATGGGACAACTCTAGTAGAACCAGCAATCCACAAGAGATCCCCCAACAAAGATACTCACTTACCGAAAAGAATAGACCAGAAAGGGTGTCTAGACCTACTCCTCGATATGAGGAACATGATATTTCTAGACCTTCTAAACCTGGAGACGGGAGACTCGATCGAGCCTTCAATAAACGACCTCAGAGCTTCAGAAATGTTCAAGAGCCTCCAGCGAAAAGGTTGCCTAATCAACCTTACGCCAAGCCATATTTACCAAATACCACTCGGAGGACTTCACCTTCTGGCCCGCCGCGTTGGGAACCACCGAAACATAAACAATCAGGTTCTCAACATAAGCCGAACATGAGAAAATTGCTCCATAAAGACAATACCTGGCGGCACCAAGCGGCATCTGCACTTGCTAGGCAAACTTTCAAAAGCTTAAGTATCAAAGGTACTGGGGTGCCTAAAGATCTGGTTATTAAAAAACTCAAAGCAAGTATCAACTCGCGTATAGATGTCATGTTGGGTGAAAAGGTAGCGATGCCGATGGAAGAAATAGTCAAAATCTACCGTCAAAGATTCCACTTCAAAACGGACAGAGCTTTCTTTGGCGCTGTTTTGGACAGCTTGAAGAACGATGAACAATACCGAGCAAATACCGATAAGCCAGGTAATGATATTTTATATTTAATGATTTAAAATGCTGTTGGCTCTTATTCAGGATTTAGTCGTTAATTAATTGGACATATTAGTTGTCATCATAACGACGACACAGCGCGCTGTACAAATTTCATCTACTGTTCTGTACGTATGATTATTTGGGTACACGCAGGCTGAGTTTACATCCATCTGACTGTTGCCACTAAATTTTCTACGCATTGACTTTGGTGCCTCTCTACCGCGCAAGCTCTGCGAGGGTTCGCCAGCTGCATCTTTGAAGTTAACTGTGGGGATGCAGGTTTACTCTAGATGGGTGATTGATCTGTCACTTGATCTATTTCATCATCTTTAAATGTAGCCGGAGAGACTGAACCTACTTGTTTTTTCTACAACGATTCATGTGATTGAATTCAATCGAAATCATCATTTGAAACCTTAAAGGGTATTCTGACATTTGGAATCCCGTTAAAAACCGCATTGAAAATATCAGACCAAATTTTCTTCATCGAATGCGGTGGCGTTACAATGAAGTGGCGGGAATGCGATTGGCGCTTTGCGTAAGGGCACTCTAGCCTGTGGTAACTGAGGTTTTCAGAGACATACGTAAGCTATTAAAATAACGACGAGTGTCTAAAATATTGCTCCTAGCCCTCAAATGCTATTGTCGAATGAAAAATACTGTTTCATAGGTAAATGGAGACGTGCTACGTCATATTCTCCGTCATTAATTGCGGAAGCTCACAATTCCATTAGCCTTAGCCTAGCCTATAGCCTTTTAAACCCCCTGTTTTTGGCGTTCCTTGGGCAAGCAGTAATGCACATAAAAGTGTCTTAGCGAAGTACAGCTTTCATCGACCTCAGTAGCCCAACAGTTTGCACTGTGGACGCTGGATGAGGAAGTCCCGGGTTCGATTCCCGGTAGGACTAATTTAGAACCAATTTAGAATAGTAAATTGGTTCTGCAGCTTGATTTTGATTGCCTCTCCCGATCGGAAACTGCGTCTTTTACGAATCGAGGCGCACAATTGCGATTCATAACTGGCCGATCGGAAACTATTGACATATGTAATCGGAACAATAGTTGATTAACTCACAAATTAGAAAGATATAGTAGGAATCAGGTTCATCTTCTCGCTCAGAAACTCATCTGATTTCGAGACTACCGGATCGGTTCGATTCCGGTTTGAATCAAAATCTGCAGCTTGATTTTGATTGCCTCTCCCGATCGGAAACTGCTTCTTTTCCGAGTCGAGGCGTATAATATTGCGGATGGGCTACCCGATTGGATGAATTAAAATCAAGGCCCAGGACGCTGGTCTGGGTGTTGTGGGTAGTGCCCCAAAGTGACTTACCTGGTTTCAGATCAGGTAATTGGTGCGGTTGTCTCGCACTTTATTATTTCAGCTGTACTGAACAGTCATACTGTATGTGATATTTCTACAGTTGGACTTTTCGATCCAATGCTGGGAAGTGCATTCAGAGTCAAATATTAATGCCTTATTTGTATTTCAAGTGTAGCACTACAAATATAATAAAATGTTAGAGCTCTTGCTATTAGTTCTAGTTGTTGTCAAGCTCTAGTGTGATTTTTTATTAAAATTGAATGCGTCTTTTTTCTACATATATTCATATGGTTAGCTTATTAATTGTTCGGCAATTCTCGGTAAAAAGTTCGAATGGTGTACCCAAAACCAGCGTGTCGTAAACACTACTGAGCTGTCAAACTTATCGTCCATTCGAGTTCCCAATTGCCGCTAGAGAATGTTGTCATTGCCAAAACAAGTCTATGTCATGAAATGTTGAATATCTATTAAACACAGTGCTCTGATAACAGATTAATTGTAAATGAAGAAATAATGCGGGTATTTACTAGATTTGAATATAAACGGATTCCATATAGCGACGCTGCCATGGTCTGACGCATATACTGCATTGCAAATATATTACCGTATAAGTTCTGTCAAATTGTGCTTAATGTTTTTACTTAAATGTCATTCCGGCAAGTGCACTTAGATCGAAGACAATTCCCGCTGCAGTGCAGTATTATAGGTGTTTGTAATAGAAAATTACCACCATGTCGTCTCAAATTTCCTATTAATCGTTTTCTTAAGAGAACCAAAATATATTTTTGTTTTTAACCACCGACTGAAATTATACAAGTAGTTCTTAATATAATAAGGATATTACTATGCTTTAAGGTAGTAGTGGACCCCTTTATTTCTAAGTGTCAATTTATAGGTATGACAGGAGCAGAAGACAAGAAGGAGGCGTCGAAACCAGAAGAAATGGTGCCGGATGTCAAAGCAACGACCGGGTCAGGAAAAATGCCGAGATACCCTAATCAAGGTAATGCGTTTGTGAATATTGGAAAAAATGGAAGCCCATTTGCAATGTGGACGTTACAGAATTTAGGATTTTAGAATATAGGATAAACATGGTAACTGCAATTTACTCAAGTCATGTGAAAAATACAGTAACCGCAATTTTCTCGATCTCGTTAGGTCTAGTAATATATTTATTTTTGAGCATGACGTTGCGTTGCTAGAACCGATCACGATTAGCGACATAAGTCAATGAAACTTCAAAATCGTAGGTCGTCTCGCTCAAAAAAAAAAAAAAAAAGTTCGTCTTGCTCATTCACTAGTACGAAGCCGACTAACGTAGGTGAGGTAGGTTCTTATAATCGCATCTCAAAGTAACATTCTAGTGTAGCACTAGAATGTTGAAAATAAATGGCTGTCTTTATCTCATTCATTACCTTATTTAATTAATATAGAACTTTTTTGTTACAGATAAAAAGGCATATATTCGTAAGTATGAACAAGCTAGACAGCTAATTATCAGGTTTTCATCACTTGGTGGCACATTTTGCACAAACACATTTATTGTCTACAGTATGTTTATACTTTTATGTTTGTTTTGTGTGTCATAATCAGTGTTCGGAATTGAAGGAGTTCATTTAGGTAAACTAAAGAATAATGTAGACATTCCCTTCTACAAATCCCGGCCTTCTTGAAACTGATTACGTTTGAATATGTGTACATAAATTCGAACGCGAGATAGCCAATAGGTAACATATATTATAAAGTAGTAATTTATTTAGATTATAATATATATTCTGCTTATGTTTGTATTTATGTATATAAAGTTCATGTAGGTGTGTATGTCTGTCATATGTATATATTATCATCCTTTATATGTATATATATATTATTTATATTTATATATATATTTTAATTTATTTATTTTTTTTACTAACATTTAAATTTTAATTTTATTGTACAATAATTAGTCCCGCAGACTTCATTTTTCACCTAGGCTAGGGTTGGCTGGAAGATATCTCTTCTAGAGATAAGCTCACCTTTGTAAATGTCCTTTATAACTTGTGTTTCACGTATCTTTTCTTTGTGCAATAAAGAGTTATTATTATTAATTGCTATTTAAGTACGGACAACAGCACATCAGACTACACATTTTTGTTCGAAAATCGCCTCCTTTGCAACGGAACAAGATACGTCAATGTGTAGCTTGATGTGCTGTCGACCATATATTGACGACAAATTATTATTTCCTATAAATTATTGTCTCAAAAAAGTACTTACGTATTGAAATAAATTAGCCATTTAAAAAATAAACATTAGACAACCTATATTTTGGAATGTTTAGAAAATAAACAATAAAAAACCAAACTTTATACGGATTGATGACGAAATGTCCATACTAAGAAAACGTACTTACTTTAGCTAAATTTAACTCCCTCAATTCCGATCACTGGTCATAATCCAGAGCAATCAAATTATCTGTGACATTAGTGGTGTTGCTAGCACAGCAACAAACATTTTATTCAGTAGTAACACACTTAGTGTCTTGAATTTTTCGTGAATAGATGATAATGATACAGAGCCATCAAATTACCTGTGACATTAGCGGTGTTGCTAATAACTATAGCAACTGACAATGTGCATGGTGAACACACAATTGATATTTCCAATTTTCCATGAATTAATAATAATAGAATAGAATAGAATAGACATTTATTGCAACGCCACAACATAGATACCTACAAAAAAAAATATTGGTACCACTTAGACAAGCGAAACAAAACAAAAAGTCGTAATTAACAAAATTAAAATAAAATAAAATAAGACAATAACAAACAAAGAGCAAATCAGAAAAATACTAAACATAACAACTACAAATGTTGTACTGTCATGTGTGCGGTTGTGGCGTACGCACAAGGACTTCATTCAGCCACAGCCACAGCCACAGCCGCAATTGACTGTGGCGCTGGTTTTCAATGAGCCCTGAATACAGAGCACTCAAATTATCTGTAATCACAGTAACAGACGTTGTGTACAGTGGAAACAGACTTAGTGTCTCAAACTCTAACCTTTTTAAAAAATGCCTTTTTAAAGTTAGTACGGTCAGTACAAAAATGTTTGGCTCATATTTAAAATAAATCAAAACGGCTAACACTAAAAATCTCTCGTATCATGTGTATGTTTATTGCATTTACTATGGCAACAGTAACCGAGCAGGCAAGCGGGGGGTGATGTTAAACCACGGAAGAAAAGAAACAATGGAAGTGCCATCCCTTGGAAGTGCATACCTTCGATTACTATCGGAACCGCTGTCGCCAAAACGCACACAAACAAATATGATAAACACTATGAAATCTTGATGATGATTGGTCATAGTTTGTAATTTGAAAACGATATGAGAAATTCTGGATTGTTAACGTAATTTAAACTTTATCCAGTCACTATTTCGGTGAAACTTTAATACCCTTATTGCAAGTTACGATGTTTTGATGTTTCGACTTTTATTCAACGTGCTGCTATCTTGCAGCCTGTAGCTGGACTATGACGAACGATTAACATCTGAACGAACAGATAAACAGAAAATTGAAAACTTATTAAAATACGACTTGCCGATGACTTGAAATACTGCTACGGGTAATATTTTTGGTGCAGCTGTCATTTTTGCGCTCCAAAACAGCACAACGAGGCATTTTTCTACGATTTTAGAGAATTGCGCGAAAGAATGACACAACCACGCCATACAAAGCGAAAATGGCGAACTGAGCTCAAGTAGGTCTCTCGAGACCTACAGTTGGCAAACGTCTGTCGCTAACTAACCTCTTCTATTGTACTTATTGTTCTGTACGTTAGACGAAACGGAATGGGAGTCGAGATACACAGATATTTCGGTCGGATGGTACGTTTAAAATTTTGCACATATTGTTACAGAACAGAAGAAACTGAGTAAACAGGAAATGTTAGACGGCAACATGTACAAACTAGAGGACAAATTATTGCAGGCTTCTGTTGACGAGCATGCGGATGTTCTTTGTGACTTAGTAAGTAATATATATATATTCTATGGTCCATACTTATTCTCGAGAATAGGAGACTCGTGTTTAGCGGTAGAACGTATATGGGTTGAGTAATGTCTTTGAAAGAGAGGTTTAAAGAAATTAATGTTAACATTCTTACACTTAGTATCACAGTACATTTATGTTAAGAACCATTGACTGACAATTATATGGACGTCGGGTCCGCGCTAAAAAGAGTTCGCACTTGTAAGGCGCTAAAATCGTATACAGAGCGCCAAACTCCGCTTTAGTTTTCATTTGTTCTACTGACAGCGCGATACTGCGATGACATTACAATTTAAATTTCGAATAGGTTGACTTGGGACATTTTTTTCGTGGTTTTTGTATTAGACCCGTCGTCCATTTATTTGTAAGTCAATGTTAAGAACAGTATTTTTTTTATAAAAATAATGATAAACTAATACGAGGAGTATAAATAAACTTGACACTCGTCTTCACAAAGTTACAAATTCATTTAAGGGGCAATCTGTACGCTTCTATAATAAAATTCCGGTTTATAGTCAAAATTTGCCATTTACGAGGATTAAAACTATAGTGAAACAAAAACATTAAAGGTTACTAAACTCTTGAGATGCAGTCGAAGTCAAAAAATGTAAACAAACAACTGTCGAAGTGACATCTCATAGGCCATAAACCTTTTTATCCACGTTCGTTTATTAACAGATCCCACTGTATTATGACTAACAAATTATAATTGAATAAAGCACTTTTGGGTTGAGCAATTTACAAAACTGTTTAGAAACATTTTGTGTCATAAATATAGTGGTCTTTTTTCTGCGGTGAAAGAGTGTATTTTGTTGAAGGACCTTGTTCAGCCTCCATTATAGTTATGTTCACACGAACGCAAGCAAATACAAACGCAACAACAGAGTAAAATCAAAAGTTAACAAAAAAATAACATAAAACTCAACAATAAAAAACAAGAACTCAACAACACGACGCATACATAGCAAGGAACACGTTCGATAACGACAGCCGTCAGAAACCGGATGAAGAAAATCGCGGTGATGCACTGGTGGGGATGCAACTTGACGACTTGACCCATTATCGATCCCTATCGACCAAAAACTAACTTTTCATTTTTCAGTTCATTATAATTAGCACTATTTAACAATTATCCAATTTATTATTTTAATATTATTACTCTCAATTATTTATTATTTAATTATTTATTACTCTTAATTATTCACACTTCTAAGTATTTGTGTTTATACATAACAAATTAAAATAAAAAATATAATAAACCTAAGGACAGCCAACGGTTGTTCATCCCCGAAACATTGCCAATATGATAAAAAATCTTTCCATGAGAAACAGTTCTTTGAGATTATTAAATATGGTGTTTCAAATAAAAAATATGATTTGATAATATTTTGCTTGTACGTACACACCATTTAAAAACATCTAGCATTCTATTCGTGGAACATTTTTTATAGTGGCATCACCTTTGTCTACATTTTTTGACTTTGCATTCATCTCAGAGTTTATATCGCTCACCAACTATTGTTGTAACTAGTGTTGGGTCATGAAAAAATTCATTTTGAAAAAATCATATTTATCAGAAAAATAAATATTGTTCCGGATATTTTTCCACATTTGACGTTGACATCTGTCAAAAATTTAACTTCCTGAATAAAAACGATGAGAGCCATTAAATAAGTTTTTATCGCTGTCGTGTAATCATTTTAAATCTTGTCTTTATTGAAGTGGCTTTTAGCTAAACAAGTTTATTTATTAATTCACACTACATAAAACTTTAAAATATATTTCTAACCTTAGAACATGTTCATAATTAAACATTCGAAATTATATTTTGCAAATTCTTAAAATTTTTCCGGTAACATATCCACTATTTGAAATTTATCGAAAAATTACTCAACAGTAGTTGTAACTCAAAATTGTGGAATTGAGAAAACGCGATTTAAAAATGAAGAATACTAAATGAAACTTGAATTATACTGAAGTATTATGTATAAATAAAAAATAATCATATTATTATTTGATTTTTAATTCGGGACTTAATCACTTATAAAACATATTTTATTTATCTCGACGTTTCGGACATATTACAACGTCCATGGTCTCGAAGAGTGCAGTATTTTTTTTTAATTTTCAAATTGTGTTTTCACAATTCCACCTATCTGGATTTTATTAAGTGTTTTCTTGAGATATTGTTTTTGTAATGGGGCTGACACGTTCAATAACGAACAAAGCCCCGAAAAAAATAAAAAATACATAACAAATTTGAGTTACGAGAGTATTTGGTTTCGTGTGCAATATTATACAGCTTCTGCGTAGTCGGATGATAAAAATCCATCGTATCGACCCTTGCTGCTAAAGCACTTGCAGATTGTCTCGACCTATGACGATATTTAAAACAAATATTGTAAATTATAAATGTCTACGTACAAATGTTTGTTTAATTACAAAGAGCCGTAATGTTTCCATCTACTTGTATTTACATCATATTATTTTCCCAGTTCATGGAAGCCTGTGGAAAACCTGACAACGAAAAAGATAAAAAGATTTGTGAGAAACTTACGGATATTGTCGCTGACGATTTCCGAAAGGTAAGTGCAAATGCGTGCATTGCGCGTCGTCGATCTGAAAGTACCTAGTCTTGCACAATTTTAAGGGTCAAATTTACATTCCTCGGCAACGAAAGACCTTTGTCCATAGAAAAATCACTACGATGGTACCACTCGCAACATCCTTCTTAGTCGTGCTTTTTGTGTAGATAAATCGACGATCGTTGACATTAAGCATGGCTCCGTCACTCGCTCAAGGTTACGCGATAAGTGTCTACCGCTGATTGTACCGAAGTCGGCACAAGCGCTCATACAAACCTTTCATTTATGAGCATTCAGCTCTGCACGACAGCACACGGCGGGTAACGCTATTTTCTTCAAGTTTAAATAAAGCTTAGGCCTTGAGCCTTTTTCCTCGGAGTGAGCGCCTGGTGTCATCAGTCAAATATAGTAGACTATTATAGCCTAGGTTTTTTTTCTATTTCGTATGAGAGTGACGTATCTGTTACATAGTAACTATAAAGTAATCTGTGCCTTAAGGGAGTTACCAAACTTATTAACGCGGAATCGTCTTGACGCGATCGTGTTTAATCACACTTGTTGCAATCCGATTCGCCGTCGTCGGCTGCATACGGGCGCGATCGGAAATTCGCAAAGCCGACCTGTGTCAAGCCGCGTTCGTACGAACCGATGCGATACGCACATCTTTTTCGCTTAATGTCATGATATTTTACTACCACGATATTTAATTACTGTTTTGTGAAACTACTCCGCCAGTTTGCTATAATTGTTAATAACAAAGATCCAAGCTTAGAAAAATTCATTCGATCCAGCACCCTCAGGCAATCCGTGTCGGATTCTCTGCAAATTAAGCCACGGAACGAACCAGCAGACCTTACGAATTTTTCTATATGCTTCTTGCAGATTTTTGGTTTTTTGCCGTAACGTAGCTTTCTCGCTCTTACGTTCTTGGACATAACCGTTTTTGACCGGCTTAATGCGTTTCTGCATTAACAAGTGTGGTGACGACTCCCTAAAACGGCATTTACAAAAAAAAAGCTGTTACTGTGTTACTAGCGAGAGCTTACAAAAAGTTCCGTTTAAAGCCTAATGAGTTGTTGGGACCCCGGCCATGTTTACTATATTTTCAAGTGACATTTTTTTTAGGCTAATAACGCCTGAAAGTCTCCATTTTATACAGATATACAGGTGTTATTTTTTACACGATAATTTTTAACGAAACCATATATCCATATGTATAATTTCTGAGCAGGAAAAATAAAGAAAAATTTTCTTTAAATTTTCCAAAATTAGTCCTACCGAACCCGGGAGGGGGTCCTTTCATAATAACGTATTGTCATGTTTCAGATAATTCGACTTCACCTAACAAAACGCCTTTTAAACATAACATCGAACCTCGCGCTACGCATATTTACCACCCAAAAAGTGGACAAAGAAAAGTTGGTAAATTTCTTCGCACCATTCAACCTTGCCAGCTTCAAGAAGTCTGAGAGAAAAGTCGGGTTGTTCATCGGCATTTGCTCTGATTATGATGGTTTTGATAAACTATGTAAATTACAAGAAATTCAGATAGGTAAGAATTATAGCTATATTCATTGAGGCAGACCTTGGTGCTTCCCAATCTCCAATTTCTATAGAACCCTTGGATGTGAATTAAAAATGTCGCAAATTCCTTAAATAAACAGTAATAAAACTCCGTTTTGTTGTTTCTCATATGATATAGAATAGATCAAAGGTTGATTCAACAAGCAGAAACAAACATTTACAATCACTTCGCAAGATATAAACCCAAAAGCGAATATACTTCGTCTCAATCCATTTAAAAAAAAAGTAAACAAACAAGTCACTGAGCCGACCATAGATGGTTTAGTGATGGCCTATTGTAATCCCAATTACAAATCGATTAATTAATTGAATGAATCGATTTGTTCAATTGAGTCATGCTAGTAGTTTTCCTTACATGAAAATACATAACCTATAAAAGCATAATGTATTTAAAATTTCCGAGATCTTAATTTTAAATCCTTCAAATCCTTACACTTTAGATACTCGTTCAATTTCGATTAAAATTTTCGATTTACTAGTCTATTATAAAAACTTTAATTGAATGAACCAAATGTTTTTTTTTCGTACAGCACTATGCAACTATAGACAAGTCATAGAAGTATAAATGAAAAATAACCTCACTTTTGGACTACCTTTTTTCAAATATGATTTTAAGATGCTATTCAAATGAAAATTGTTGGAAAAAGTGAAGCGATATCAAGTCCAGTCTTCGAAATCTACGTGAAAGTGTTACTTATTCGATTTATTAAGTGATTTCTTTAGTATTTTAAATAAACAGGTTTGTTTACTGTTTGTATAAAGTGGATTGGAACAAACTATAGAACATTAGTAGCAGTAGAGCTCCTTGTGAAAGAGCTCGTCCAGGGTAGTACTGCCACCTTACCTATTTCTGCTGCCAAGCAGTAATGTCAGCATTACTGTGTTCCGGTTTTGAAGGGTAAGGGTGCTGGTGAAATTACAGGCACATGGGACTTGTCAACTTGTCTCAGGGCGACAGGCGCAGCGGTAGTGCCCCTCAGATCTTTGCAATTTAAAACTCCGAGTGGCACTGAACTGTTATAGATAGGGGTGTAGCTTACCATCAAGCGCACGACTTGTTCGTCTCGTCACTTGAAGTTATAAAAAAAAAATTAGTACCGATTGATACAAACATAAATAAATTTTAGATTGATCTTATCGCCAGGAGTTTGCGCTGAAATAGCCCTGACTCAGTATAATTATTGTAGACCTTGAAAAGTCAACAGAGCTGTTTTCCTGCCATTTAGTTACCGTTTGTGTAGTCTATCCTTTGTCAACTACTAATTCTACATAATACTTATATTCACAGATGGTGTGACAGTAACAATCAAACCAATGCACATCACCGGCCCACCACCTAAGGTGATGAAGCCAAACAAAAGATTAATGGTTGAGAAACATGACATTAGCGAAGAACCTGTACTTGAACAGGAAGGCTTTTCAAAGGAAAATGAAGAAAGTGTGGAACACGATGCTGAAGATATTATCGATGATTACGCGCATGATGGTGATCAAATTGAAGATGATAATGATCAGAATGCCACAGGAAACAATGATGAAGGAAATATTCAGGACATTCCAGATTTAGATGAGGCAAACGAGGAGGATTTGGAAGATTATTAGATAGTAGGAGTTATTATAAAACTCTCACATATTCATTAATTAATGTTAAATGAACGACTATCCTGTACTTTATTAGTGTTTTGATCTAAGTTTCAAATAAAATAAAAATCTTTTGTGTTTAAACTTATTTTTATTGAATGGAAATAGAGTTATACATTTTTTGTTTATTTTCTTTGTGGCGACCACTAGGCTTGTGCCAGCGTCAATTTTATAATAATATAAAAATTATATTATGGCGTGATCGCCATAAGTTTTCTATTGGCAATGATTCGGCAGTGTCAGTAAGAACCAGTACAAGTACCAGAACAAGAACTAAGAACCAGTTGGATGTTTGTAATATGTAAAGTTACTACCTACTGATATAAAAATATTTTTGCCAAACACAGAAAAATAGGTACAGATGTGCCTAGCTCCCAAACTAGGATCTCTGTACTATGGGTAGCTAGGTCTTACGTCCGTCAAGTGTGTTGCTTCAAAATAACTATAACTTAGGCTTAAGTCCACGGCAACGTCATTTGCCGAATGCATGAAAGCTACAAATGACGACAGGCGTATTTTGCATCTTAGTTCTGTCCACATATTGTTCAGTAATACGAACAAAATTACCCGCTCATGCCGCCATTTTGCGGAATAAACACGTCTGCGTCTAGTAATACGCTCGGGTAGTGATATGCTGCCGCACGAACTTCGTGACAAACTCAAATGCGGCGTTGGGGCTCCAGTGGACACAGTTTCGTTCGTTTCTACGCAAGATGCAAGCATGCAGCACGCAAGCGTAAAATGACGATAGTGTGCGTATGACGTGCAATTTATGTGGACATTAGGCCTAAGTCTATTACAATAACTAAGTATATTACAATAAGCTTATAATATATGATTGGTAAAACACAAGTTGGTTATTAAATAAACTGTTTGAATTTCTGACTTCTCTCTACTTCTCTTAGTTTGCATTTTATAGCAACTGCTTATACCCGGTTAGTACCTGAAAACAAGATGGACATATTTTATGAGTAATTTGCAAATATGCACGAGTGAAAATATAAGCTGATTCTGTAGATTGTACGATTTTAGTCTAACAAACGTTTTACAAACACTACCAGGGTTCAGTACTGCACATTACATTGGTTTGCAAGTAGACGGTAAAGGGGGCAGGGTGGTATTAATCCAAGAGGGCCCATGACAGTTTATAGTATAATGGTAGTCTAGCCCTGAAGTAGATCCTTCATTTTATAAGTCAGGTACTATCCGAATTTCAATTTCGAAACAATCCCAGTTTATTTTCAAAATTAAAATCTAAAGCAACATTCAAATTCGGAGGCCCCCATCTACGTTTGTTCGTCTTGCCTTTCCAGGGAGCTGTATAAATTAGAAGATGGAGAAAACTCACCTACTTCCATTCTTCTCCGTCGCCTTCGGTCCAATCGTCCATATTTGCCTCGTCCATAACTATTCCATTGGAATCCGATCCAATCAAATCATCCAAATTCACACTCTTTTCTTCCATATTTTCAATGTTAGCTTCATTTTGTTCCTTTTCATTTGAGATTACTTTGTCAAGCATGACTTTCTCGTTATTTGGAATTACTTCATCTTCATTAAGAATTTCTTTCTCTTTTGGTATAATTTTCTTTTTATTTGGAATTACTTCCTCTGTATGTATAGTTTCTTCCTTAATCACCAGTTCCTTTTTAGGGATATTTATATCTGTATTAGAAACTGCTCCTGTAATATCTGTAGTTTCAAGTTTTATCTCCTTTACTTCAAATGCAGTTCCTGTTAAGTCTGTAGTATCTGAAAAAGTTCAGCTTATTACTACAACGTTATGAAACAACAAATTGTACAATAAGTGATACTGAATATTAAGTAAAATTTGCAACATACTTTTAGTGTGAAGGCTAAATTAGTTATTTTATTATAGATTATTATGCGATGGCGGCATCTCAATAAATGACTACCCGCTGGGAAGCTAATCACTGACAGAATGAGAAATGGACTTATTATGGAGTACTTCGCAATTTATATGTTTTCAATCTTGACGTCTGGTATCGCGCAAACGTGATCCATAACATCAAAAATAAATATCGCTGCGTTGCAATTGAAACAACGTCCAACCCCATCATACGTTAAGCATCGGCGATATATTTACCATTAAGAAGCTGAATGCAGCGATTGAATGTTCCAATCAGCACATATTCAAATTTCTTTGAATTCAGCCGTACATTAGTAGCGGTAAGAGTATTAACTGGTATTAACATCTCCGCCTTACACATGCATTCGCTAAAACATAATGCACACGGATATCGCCGATGCTAAAAGTATTGTGGTAGGTGTAATTGCTAGACGCCTTCTAGAAAACTAACTTGTAATATTTAACGTACGGCGGTGGTAATAATCCCAGTATTTTACACTAACGATTACAAACGCAGTGTTCCGCACTTTTATGAACAATTTAATTGTATGTCCAATGAAGTTTTCGTTTGTTAATTACAACAAACTTTAACAGTTTGAGACCAATTTGATTAGATCAAATAGGTTTTTTTGGACTGTTTATTTCTTCGCAGCAATGATTATGGAAGTTATTGCTTTGGAACGAAATCCCCCATGACCCATTAATATACCTGTTACATTGTGGACTTCACTTTGTTTTTCTGTTTTGTCTTGCTCCACTTCATTTGGACCTTCAATTTTAATTGTTTTCTCCCCTTCATTTATCTTTTCTCCACTTTTCTTTTCCACCTTTTCTTCATTTGCTCTTCTCCCTGGTTGTTTTGTGTTATCCTTTTTGGTGACCTTACCTATTTCCCCATCATCTATAGACATATGGGAACCTCTAAGGTCTTTTAAATGCTTAGCCACAAGCGTTTCATCTGTGGTTTTTGGGTAACGTGCCCGGTATAACGCCGCTACTTCTGTGGCTGACATAATCGGCTTATTTTCACAAAGGACAACCAATCTCTTGCGTATAGTGATTCGAATCATTTTGTCAAGTATAGAGATTTCTCTCATAGATTCCAAGCCTGATGCAAAGATTAGATCTTTCATGTCCGTTAGTATAAGTTTGCATGGCCAAAGAAAGTTTGGTAGTTTCTTGGACAGTGTCGGCATTCTTCTTTGTGGTGGAGTTTTCGGTCTATTAGGCCTCGAACGTTTATTCGGCCGAGACCGAAATGGAGAAGGTTCACGGGGTCTGTAGTCTCGGGGTCTCGAGCGAGAGAATTCCGAAGATTCGAATTCTTGTAAGGCGCTTGGGCCAAACTCCTGTGAAACCAATGTTTGTAATGATATTTTTTGCAATGATTCTTACCATTGCCTTTTCTTTTATATTAAACACCAACCCTCTGTTTAGCGTCTAGTTGACAATTTTGTTATTGCCATAGTCGCCGACTGAGGTAAAAAAGGCACCGGAGGAATATTGCTTTTAGATTGTTTTTTTTTCCTAATGTGTTCTTTGCTTCAGCTTTGAGAATAACAATCTTAACCTACCATTTTGTAGCAGGTTTCGAAAGTAAATTCATTGTTCTGTACTTTGGTTTTATAGTGAAATTAATGCTGATTTACATTGTTACAATATTTGGATCTAGGGTCACTGAATTCTAATGCTGGGTCATAAAAACCATCCACTACAAACCAATCCAGCATTTGATACTAGATTGTATTAAACATTTTTTATAAAAATTAAAAATAAATTTGCAATCGTCTACAAGCTTACAATCAAGGTTAATTAGTTCATTGCCAATTCAGGATGCACTTGAATCCATTGACGCTCAATCCAGACTTGTATCAATATTTGTGTATCAGCCAACTACTTTTTCTACCATACCTTTACCAACTCCAACTTCTTCTTCTCAAATAGTAGCCTTCTTTCCTCTTCTACTATCAACCTTTGCTTTCTCAGCAACTCTATTTCTAACTGTAAAATTAATATCACAATATAATTTAAACACTTATACAACATACAAGTCTACAGAAGCTATCAAACGTGTCTAAGTAATGTGTTGATCTGCAGAAAACTGCAATATCATCAATTTAGCCTTTTTGGTGTAACAAACAGTAACACATTCAAATGTGAACTATTAGTTATTTATATACTAAAAAAACTATTAAACCTGTGTTCTTGATAGATCTACTATGCCAAGAATACAATTCAAGGATTTTGAATCTGTACACCAGTTATGGGATACTTAATATTCCACTATGTTCCTAGATTATTAAAAGTTTGGATGTTCACACTTTATTGTATTATACTTATGTGTATGTGTGATACTATATCCTAAATTAGACATCACATACGTTGCTCTGGTCTCAATGTAAGTAGCGAAAGCACTTGTGTTATAGAAATCGGAAATAACGTCGGTACCACAAACACCCAGACCCGAGACAATATAGAATTAGTTTCTACACTTTCCAGGGATCGAACCTGGAACCTCAGAGATGGCGACAACATGAAAACCGGTGTCCAAGCCATTTGACCATGGAGGTCATCAAAAATGTAGTTGACATAATTCTTGGTAACATAAAATAACTTACATCAAGTTTAGAAGTTTCATAATGAGGGCTGCGTGATCTACCTCTTGAGTAACTATCAAAGCGATCTTGCCCATAATGATACGGGCTTGGAGACCTCCTTCTTGGTTGTCCAAGTTCCAAATATGCATTTATCAGATACAAGTCCTTGCCATTCCTATACTCAAATTTATTAAACACTTTTAGTGCTTTTCGAGCTTCATTTGCAGTATGAAACTCAACAGTTACAGATTTTAAATCTGATCCCCGTATGTCGGACATATCTTTAATCCAAAATCTTTCTATGTTTTTCTTTTTTAATATTGTTTTGAAGAGAAATACTAGTCGTGATATTTTGGTCTGAAACAGTATATAAATAATATTTAATAACTTATCCTCCAGCCCATAGTTTCCCAAAATGGTGCCTACTGTCCTCCAGTGGGCAATCAAGAGTCCTAGGGTAGGGCTTCGAAAGAAATTCGTTGGCAGTCATATTTGACAAAAAAAAAACCTAAATTATCTATATAATTCAAATGTATATTTTTTTCTTGTGCTTTTTTGTGTTAAGTTGGTATTAAGAATACATGTTTTGACTTATTTTTTGTGGTGGTGGGTGTAGAATTTTTTTTATGTTGCCTAAGTGGGAGGTGAGCCAAAACAATTGGGAACCTATACTCCAAACCATCATACCTTTTCCATGGTTTCAATACTAGAAAATGCCCTGAGCTGCGAGTAACAGACAAACAACAATTCTAAGAACACCTTTTGATTTTAACAACGGAACACAAAATCACCTCACCACATCTAGCACCCACAGTGTTAACATTTTCTTTTCAAAATCAAGTTCTATTGACACAATGATTATTGTACACAAGGTATACAATAATAATTGTCACACTAGTGATTTATAGTGCAACTAGTTGGAGCCCGCGACTTTGTGTACAATATGTACTTTGTGTAGCCTACTGTACTACTTATTTATTTATTTATTTATTTATAATAGGTACACCAACAGCATATGTATTATAGCATTGAAGTAACTTAAAACTAGTAAACATGATTCTGATACACAAGCCAATTACAGGTGAACACAACATTCAGTAACAAACTCTCAGAGACTAATTAAAGTTGCAAATAGTATACAAAATTAAATTAAATTAAAAAAGAAAAAGAAAAACAAACAAATCAGTCCAATGAGGTTCCAAGCAACAGTTTCATGAGTTTGGTCTTATACTTTGCAAGGGAATCAAAAAATATATCGAGGTCAGGTTTTTCAGCATTAAAACTATTGTGAGTGTGGCAAACACGAGAAACAGGGGCATGCTCAATGACATTGGTTCTACAAGCCGGTTGATGGAACAATCGCGTGATGGGTTTCCGGGGTAAATTATAAGGAACTGAGAGTGAGATGCGCGAAAGTATCTCGTCGCCTCTAAAAGTTCCATTAACGCATTTGTGCAGAAATAGTGCATCATGAAGTCTACGACGGTCACGCAAAGACATTAATTTAAAAAACTCCAAGCGCTGGTCATATCTATGGGAAATATTCGGAGAATTGAAAGCGAGGTGCCTTGTGAAAGCTCGTTGTACGGATTCCAAGCGTTGGGAGTGCACCGTATAGGCAGGATTCCATACCACAGAAGCATATTCAAGCTGACTACGAACTAGAGTATTAAATAATATAATTTTAGTTTTGTTACTAAAGGATCTTGAGTTCCTTTTAACAAAACCTAACATTTGGGCGGCCTTACTGGTGACATGATTAATGTGTGATGTAAATTTGAGTTTACTGTCAATGAAGATACCCAGATCCCGTACCTCTGGTAATTCTACCAAATGTTCATCATTGACAGTGTACGTTGAAGGAAAAGTATTTATTTTTCTGGTGTAATGAATGTAGGAGCACTTTTTGGAATTTAGTTCCATTCCGTTGGACCTACACCATACTTCAACATTGTCCAAGTCCCTTTGAATCAGTGCCATATCTACACAGGATTCTATTTTTTTTATATATTTTTAAGTCATCTGCAAAGAGAGAGTACTTACAATGTTTCACACATGATGTGATATCATTTATGTAGCAAACAAAAAGTAAGGGTCCCAGGTTAGAGCCCTGTGGCACACCCGATTGTGCAATATATGCGTTAGACTCAAAGCCCTTTATTACAACTGACTGATATCTTTGTGACAAGTAAGAGCGAAGCCATTCCAAGAGATACATGTCTAGACCAAAAGTTTCTAACTTTTGTAACAGTATATAGTGATTAACTTTGTCAAACGCGCTACTAAAATCAGTATACACAGTATCCACCTGGTGGCCTTTGTCGATTTCATGAACCAGATCAGATAGAAAAGTGACTAAATTAGTCTGAATCGACCGCCCATTACGGTAGCCGTGTTGGTGTGGAGTAATATAGTTGTCTACATATTGTGCGACTATTGGATATATTAATGACTCCAATAACTTAGACGGACAGGACAATATCGCGATAGGTCTATAATTTTTTACATTATGCGGGTCACCCTTTTTGAAGATCGGAACAATTCTTGCCTTTTTCCATTCAGTGGGAAACGTACCGCTAGCTAAAGAATGATTGAATATAATTGTTAGAGGAAGAGCTAGTAATGCTGCGGTACTTTTGTAGAAAAGTGGTGGAATTTGATCGGGGCCAGTGGACTTGTTTGCATCTAGTTGTGTCAGCTTCTTAAACACCTCTTTTACCGTGAATAGAACATGGCCTGGATGGTCTTTATAAGCAATGGTATCATCATGAAACCTTGAACTGTAATCAGTATATACGGACGAAAAATGTGTAGCAAAAAGATTAGCTATATCATAACCATCTTCGGTGGAAACATCGTTAAGAAACATACTAGACGGAATGGGGGTATTATTCTTTCGTTTATTATTTATAAATTGCCAGAAAACCTTACAATTCAGGGATATTTTGTTTTCGATTCTACGCTTATAATTTACATAGCAAGTATTTAAGTGTCGGTTACACCGGTCGCGAAGAAGATCGAATTCAATTTTGTCACGCGGGTTGTTGAACTTTCGGTATCGAAGTCGAAGTTTCTCTTTCTCCCTTAGCAATTTAATTTGAGAAATAGTAAACCAAGGTGGGTGCTCAGACTTCCTGATTTTAAACCTTGGTACATGAAGCTCAATCAGACCTCGTAAGATTTTGTAAAAAATAGAAACCATTTCATCGGTCGAGCCGCACTCAAGAAATTCGGAATGCCAGTCGATATTTTCAAGTTCCCCAGCAATAACATTATAGTCGGCTTTAAAAAAGTTATAATTGGTATATGGTTTACTACGCAACATGGAAACGCCAACGTTATCAATTGTAAATAAAATAGAGGGGTGATGTAGATCTTGTTTACTGAGTAAGTCAAGTGGGGATTTAACTTTACCATAAATCATAGTACTAAAAACCAAATCCAAGACCCTGTCATTTTGATTACGAATGTTGTTGAATTGATAGAGGTTGTTAACATACATGAAATCTATCAAAGCGTTTTCCATATCACTGTGATAATTATAAGGCAACACGTGGTAGCTGTCATCTACATCCGACCATCTAATATCACCGAGATTCATATCTCCCATTATAATAACATCACCCACCAAGTTCATGACATTACTGGCATTATCAAGAAAACAATTAATGACATCACACTTAGGTGGTGAGGGAATATACACAGCACAAAGTACAACATTTTTGGACACTCCGTCAATATTAACACCAATTGACACCCAAATCTCTTCACATTCACTTTCGTATTGAAATAATCGACTGGATTGCAGCTTACGCGAGACCGCCACCAAAACACCCCCTCCATCCAACTTACGACGTTGGGCACTCAACTGGCGATCCCTTCTATAAACTACATTTCTTGAGTCAAATAATTCGTTTATATTCGTCGTACTTATTTGAGAAATTCTTGATTGGTTCTCTAAAAAAATGGAACAAGCTCAACCTTGGCAAGGCTAAGTTTGTTGCGTTATTGGCTTTAGCATACTTAATATGCCCTAATTATTTCGGTTGTGTGTTCAAGGATTTATGAATATTCTCGGGCATTCAGGGTTTCACTTATTTTCTTCGCCAATATTGCGAGCGACATATTAATAACCAAGCAGGTATCGGCAAGTCTGGCAGCGCAAGATCATTAGGTCAAGTTTTATATGAATATACCTCACTACTTGATACTTGTGATCCTTTCACTATTTATTCAAAACCTGTGTAAAAATGACTAGCTAGCAGAAAATTAACTGATTGCATTATAGCATCCTCTTCATAAAAAAGTATAATTTAATTAGTTGATATTGCATTCGATGGACGGCTTGATTGAATCGTATTGGTTAATTATTAAAAACAAACTCAAAAAAAAATTGGTGGTTACTTACACTGTGAGGAAACCCTTCAAGAACTAAATTCGACATAGTGTTCACCTTCTGTTCTGTGGTGTTCACGTTTTGAGCAGTATTCTTTTCAGAAAAACAGCGTAAAAGGCAAAATCAAAATGGAATGAAATGAACGAATGATAATGTAAAAGTGTAATGACAATTAGATTGTCTATGATTATAGAATAGACCAAAGAGAATTTAAGCACTACGTTTAGAATAGACCTTAGACTATGGAAACTTTTTTCCATCCTCTAAGTCTAAGGGATAGACGGAAGGACGGAATGGTAAATGAAAAATGGCGGGTTTTTCCTTAGAGGATGGAAAACGTATCCATCTGATCAGAGAATCATAGTCTGAGGGTCGTATTCTAGAACTCTACTCAATGCTCAAGTCAGGATTGCAATGGAAACACAAGCACTGGAAATACGATCCTAATGGCAAGGACTTGAGTATGATTTCGAGTGCTTTAAACCACACTCAAATCTTGATTTGAGCACTGATTAGAGTTCTAGAATACGACCCTGGTCGTATTCTAGAACTCTATATTGAGTAGAGTGCTTGAAATCATACTCGAGTCTGCTCAAATCCCAAATCCTGACTTGAGCATTGAGTACAGTTCTGGAATACGACACTGAGAGTCGTATTCCAGAACTCTACTCAATGCTAGAACACTAGACATATAACTACTAGTTATATGTCTAGTGTGTGTAGTGATTTATAGTGCAACTAGAACACTAGTTGCACTATAAATCACTAGTGTGACTAGTATGACACAATTATTATTGTATACCTTGTGTACAATAATGATTGTGTCAATAGAACTTGATTTTGAAAAGAAAATGTTAACACTGTGGGTGCTAGATGTGGTGAGGTGATTTTGTGTTCCGTTCTTAAAATCAAAAGGTGTTCTTAGAATTGTTGTTTGTCTCTCGCAGCTCAGGGCATTTTCTAGTATTGAAACCATGGAAAAGGTACGATGGCTTGGAGCATAGGTTCCCAATTGTTTTGACTCATTGAGAAATATAT